TCTATTTTGGTAGTTTTTCAGGTCCAATTTTGTAGTTCATTTCTAGATTGTTTAACTCATTTTGAGAATTCTATTTCATTGTAGCACGTGGTATTCAATCTGTTTGATAACATGGTTCAAATGCAATCATCAAACAAGGCTGTTAGAGTAAGAATAATTTGAACATGAAAGTGGCTTTTGGAGGGACATGGCACCGAGTTTAGAACATTGTACCAAGTTATTAAGTTATCAACGATGGAGTCAGATCATCTTTACTGTAAACCAGAGCCTTCAATAAAACACCGTTTAGACATTACGTTTAAGTCTGATGTCAGGAAAGTGTCGAGTCTCGCTTGATCTTTATCTGCAGTGTTATTATATTAAATGAAGTTGGACTTTTGATTTTTGCGAAAGTTTGAAGTAATCTAAAAAATGTTATTATTATAAACAATGGAATTGTTACAGATGGGCTTTTGGACGAGCTTAATTGATAAATTTGGAACAATAATGCAGATTTTGCTTAGTTTCATTTTTTGCTACTTCGCTACACTGTTTTTCAGTGCTCTGCATCTATTTTATCTAGCTTCCTTCGGCAAAGCAACAACGTGAAATAACCAAAAAATGCTTGCTTCGAGAAAGGGTGCCCCGACAGCGAATTATTAACCTTTTCAATTCACCAATTCAAACTCAACACTGCTCATATAACTCTCCCTAAAGATGAAGTCTCACGCCACTGAGGAAGGTTGTAGCATTGACCCATTCGCAAAATATCATATATTTGGGTGAACAACTACTGAAATGTAAATTTCGTTATTTTAGACAACATTATAACTATAGATCTGCTGTGCGTTATGAAGGATTCTAACTTATTTGGCTAGACCAGAAAGATGAAGCTTTTCCTATAAACTCACCAGGATTATAATCATCAATTACAAGGAGAAAGGGCGCTTACAATTTCTTTTGTATATCCCTATAAATCAAGAGAGAACGAAATTACATCACCTAAATAATTCTAACTCGACGATGTGTGTAGGATCTGGTGATTGATTATTTTTTCACGCAAAGTACTCTTATTTTGTCATGCTGACCATTATCTGTGTCTTGACATCCTTGACACTTATGAAATTTAAAACGTTAAGTCTAACAACTCAAACCACTTTTTTTATATAACACAAGAGAAATCAGGTTTGTAATTTATCCCAAGGTAATTATAACATACTGGTAAAATGTAATACAGGTAGGTAGGTGGATTGATTTACTGATCAAAGTAATAAGCAGATGAAACCATCTGAAAACCGTAATGTATCCATACAGAGATCGAGACTGTGCTCATCAATTATGTGGAGAAAGGACCCTGAAAGTTCTATTTTACCATATAATTTGGATATATCAACAAAGTTGAAATGGTAAATTGGCCACCGTAACGATTACAAAAGCTGACGTTTCGAGCGTTAGCCCTTCGTCGGAGCGAATAGAGGAATTGTGGGTTGTGTGTGCTTTTAAAGGCAGAAAATGGAGCTACGTTATTGGTGGGAACATGGCAACGAGAAAAACAAGAATAAATTAGTGGAATGAAAAGCGTTCGTTGATCCCTGTGGGATTTAGACTGCCGGTTTGAAAGATGAGCTTTTGTTCAAGATTTTTACGGNACCTTCCCCAAACAATCCCACACTTGTGGTATCGCCTAAGCCATGCCAGGGTGCTGAAACTAGAAAAGCCTAGTGAGCTACGCACAATGCTAGCGGCAATGACTCATCCCACAGTGCTCAATTTGGACATGAAAGCAGAGCTTCATTTGCGAAAGGGCTATATCTAACTGCAGACAGGACTGTTACGGCCTTCTGGGCCTCATCAGTGCAGTGCTGATGCTAGGATTACTGATGGCTTGGACGATACCAAAAGCGTGGGATCGTTTGGGGATCCATATCGGTTCTCCCCCATCCTAACATCAGCACTTACTATATTTTGTTGGTGGTATTGCAGTGTTGAATACCCACCCTCCTTAATGTCTCCTTAAGTTAGAGTTTTTTTTTTAATTATTGTTATCTCCCTTCAATTTTTAGGCTGTTACCTTTCTGGTAGTTTACATAAAAAAAATTAAAAAAAATAACTTATTTAGTTTTTTTAATAAACCTTTCGGAATGATTCTATTCAAAAACGTTCCTAAGGGTCAATCTGAGGTGACCTAATTCGCTTTCGTACATTTTTGTTTTATCAGCCAATTAAAACCAGAGGAAACAAGATATTTAAACATTTAGCAAATGTTACCCTTATTATGATAAATAAATGCAAAATAAGGGACTAGAACCGATCAAAAAAGTCAATTTACTTACAAATAGCTGAAGCTAGTGTACATGCAGTGAAGTACGTACAGTAGGGCAAGAGTAGGAGTTAAATTATAACCGAGTAGGACCTATTGACTGTGACACTCTACCTTGCTAAACAGAAGCATTCAGTCACCATTCACTTGAATATGAAGCCTGCAAACACCATTTCAGAGTTCTGTATACATTGTAAGATTGTCTATACTAGTTATTAATTGCTCTAACACAAAAGTGCCAGACTACATATTTCTGTTGTTTATAGCGGTAGGAGAGAGGAGGCGACTAAATAAATAGAAAATTTTGCCCACGTATGAAATTCAAACAAAGATTTTAGCCACTGTTCGAAAGAAGCATTAAAAGATGCTGGCTCGGATAGGATTCCAACCCGTATTTCAGATACTATCCAGGCACCTTTACCGACTGAGCTATGAAGTCAACATTGGAAGTGTGGGGCAAATCTTTGGATGATTTCTTTACCTGGGTCCAGTTGTATAAAAGGCGGATAACGCCATCCAACGGATAAATTGCTATCCGACGGATAGAAAAACGTATAGCGTTACTCACTGGATATAGTTTTATCCAGTGGATAGCGTTATCCAACTTTCGAACAAATGGAGTCTGAAAGACTAACCA